ACGCAGTGATTAGACCAACAGCAAAGCTGCTTGGGCACAAATGCATAATGTAAAGAAATGAACAAAATGGCCCTGTGCTGCAATCATCACAAACTGTATACTGGCCACTTTGCATTACATGAATACTATGCATAACTTTAAATGATGAATGGAGAATGTCAAAAAAAGAAGCAATGATCTTTTCTGCAAGGTGTGGCCCTGCCTTTCTGCATAAATATGAAACCGGGGGACAGTGTGATTATATGAGTAGCCTCCCAGAGGATCTATAGCCATGAACTTTATTTCCAGACCCAAATGACAATCAATCATCTGGGGAAAATCTATTGTTATACTTCCTAAAATATCAGCTAGATTTTTGTCATTGACTTGTCTTACGCCATAGAAGGAGACATCTCCCTTCATATCAATAACCTGCCTCATAGTCCTTCTGCTTTTAAGTCAAATAATTATATGATTTAATGTGGTTTACAAGTAGTCATCTTCTTTCCTGACAATGTGGATCTACTTATTCAAATTCAAATCAACTAAGTTACTTTAAATACTTGGGGCAGTTCAAAGAAGAGGAAGAAAGAAGTAAATTTAAAAGAAGATGGGAAAGAATGAGGGAATCAAGAAACAATGGGAACTACTATTAAAACAAGAAATAAAAATCTTAAGGGATTAAGTAGATGATATATCTTTCTAATAAAAGTAGGAGAAAAAAGACATGTCATGGTTCCTTTTTGGCCCATCTCATGAATGAAAGTACTGCCTACATAATTCAAGTAATCATAGAGTGCTACAAATTATCTCATTTCAATTTCCTACCCTTGGAAACCTAACCAAGGAATTCCAAAACTTCACATGGAGATTTTGTTCACACCTTCAATGTTTGAAAAAATGAAAAGAGAAAAAGAGGAAGCTCTTTAGCTTACAAGGAATTTTCACAAAGATACCCTGCCCTGAACAGTTGCTCCAGGTGAGGCATAAGTGAATTAATTCCAGGATGATGGCAGTCAAAAGATCTAGAAAAAGAAATCTTTGTAGAGAGGTTTTTTTCAATGGGACATAATTCACTTTCTCACAATGACATTCATAGGCGATTAATGTCCTTCAAATTGAGGATTTATTGATTGTCTCTTATATTGTTGTACATAAGACAGCCCTCTGCTGGTTTTGACAATGACCATTGGCCTAAGAAAAATTAGTTTCCCCCAATAGATTTTTATGCTGCAAGCCCAGTCATAATTGGTTCCTTTCTCATGGCTCTTTGAAAACTCAGAATTCACTGTTAAGCTGAATTGTCTTAATTTTTAATGGTTTTCCATGGCCTTTCCTGCACCTGATACTCACTTCCTTTTTCCCTTGATTTCATTTTTTGTCCTAACTTTTCTCCTCTTTGGGACCAATGAACTTACTGTAAGTCACTTCAAATGCTTTTAGAAAAACTAAATAGATATTAAACAAACCAGTTATAAAAATTGCTGCTGTTTAAAGAACTTGTAACTTAAAAGGGAAGGTTATAAAATTTTATTGAAATATTACAAAATCTATCGAAACTATTGGAAGGAAACCCAAGCAAATGTTGCTTAAAGGATAGTAAGGTCACTTCCATGTAGGAGACCATTTTTGGAAGAAATATCTAATGAGATAAGCCTTGTGTGATGCAAGAATGCCAACACTTGAGGATGTGAGGTTGGAAAGAACAAAGCTTGGAACATGTTCATAGGTTATTACTTTCAGATGTTTGACAGAAACCTAAAAGAATGAAGAAAATGACACAGGAAAGATGGCTTGGAGCCAATGGGAAAGATGCCTGTAAATCTCAAAGGGGCTACATGTCTACTGAAAGTTATTGAGCAGGAAGTAATATAATTGAAATGATATAACAAGTCATGTGAGTACTGACATGGAAATTAGGGCCCACAGGGACAAGTCTTTAGTGGTGTGTTTAACAAGCAAAAAGAATGCCTTCCAGGATCTCTGAGAAATCAGCTTGTCTATCTTATTCCTTTGCAGATCAACATGGACCAAAGGCATGATGTTTTTAAAGGAAGAAACAGGAAGGCAGGCAACCTGCCATGGGAAGAGTGAAAGTCAAGCCTCAGAGGAGGCTGCTCTTTGCCATCCCTAACCCATCAGAAATCAAAGGATGTAGCTGAAAGTACAAATAGCCCTGATCCTACCATTATCCATTATAAGGGAGGGCATGTGAGGTGAAGGTGGCAGAGGCAGCCACCACGCCTTTCCTTTGTCTCATGGTGTTATCCTAACCCAGTGAGGACATCTGAGTGTCTAGCTCATGTCTGCTTTATCTAATGTCCAGCTGCCAACTAGAGTCATCTCAGATGCCACACACATGAAGCAGCCCCTTGCATCACTTTGCAACACCCTGGGTATTAGTGATGAAAAAGCCAGATACAAAGAGGGACTTCTTTTCAAAGGATGATGCCATGGCACAAGTCCAATATTTGCAGGGTTCCAGAAAAGCCCATCTTTAAAGTTAGTGGTGAATCAAAGGCTTTCTAGTATTTTCCTGTGGCTACAATTTTTATCTCTAGTCCTAACACCAGATAACTGGGTCCACCTGTACTGGCACATCTGTTGAGTGCTTTCTACCAAAAAAAAAAAAAAAAATCACCCCTGGCTCCAGTTTTCCGGAGTCTGCTTTTCCCGCATCCCTTGCCACTCCCTGCTGTCATTCCCAGGCACCACGTGGCCTTTGACATTTGCTAAGACACACGTGAAGAGCCCAACTTCGGCGACTCAGACTGATGACTCCTAGGAACTTCCCAGGGATCAGAGTGATACAAGCCTTAACATGCAAGGGGGAGAGAAAGGGAGGGAGAGGGGAGCTGGGTGTCAGAGGGCCCAGGGTGTCTCAAGCCCAGCAAAGGCGGAGCAATGTTTATAGCAGCAGCTGTGTCTGTGTTGGCCTTCCCGCCCCTCAGCACCCCAGGGGAGCAGCTTGAGCACAGAAGGCTGCTAGCTCTGGAGTGCTCCCAGACGCACGTAGCGCGCGATCCATTTTCTGAATCAACAAAGATTTGCAAGCACAAATCAGAGCTCACCATCTCGTGGATTCTCCTATCCCTTAAACCAGTGCCCAGGCTCAGGCAGGAGGTGACTTAGGTTGCAGGGGCTGGGCTGCTCTGCGCTGAGCTAAGCGCTGGAAACAGGGTGCTCACAGGCTCTCCCTGCGCCTACTCAGGGAGAACTGAGCGCTGGACAGCGTCTGCTCTGCGCACTCCTTCACTGCGCACCTGCAGCGCCTGCAGCCACGCTTTGGGCTTTCGGTCCTCACTCGCTCTGGCCTCAAGGATGAGGTTGTGAAAGTGGCTGAGTGCCGGATTTGGTGTATTTAAAAGTCCTTGACACCTGCTGGAATGTGCTACACGAGACCTCAGCTCCTAAGTTTTCCCCAGTCACCAAAAGGAGCTGCTTTTCCCGAAATTGATACAGAAGCTTTGGAGAGTAGGGTTTTTTGAGCACATGAGCCATTAGAACTTTTCCCATTTATTTCAACCTCTAATCACACCTGCCCCTAAGTTCTGGACTTGGTTGCACATTTGGTACCTTCACGTGGCAGCACCGTCCAAGTCTGAGGTTACATTCATTCTGTAATGCAGCCCACAAGTAAGACCAGGAGCTTCTCAGTAGCCGAGAAGGTAAAACTGTAGTAGAAGGTGGAGGGGGTGAAATGCTCAAAGGTGTTCAGGATACCATGGCAGATACCTCAAGTCCTCAGCATACTGTGAGTTTCTGATTTCCAACGGTGATTTTTCTCAGGAGAAAGGGTGGCATTGAACATGGAAACCACACTTTAGGAGAGGATGCTAAAGCACACTCAGGTACATAGAAAAGGGAGATAAAAGGAGGAAGGTGAGGGAAATTCCTGATGATTTTGCTAATGCTGAAATTCCATAGATTTGGCTAGCCCTAATATTTTCCTTTCACATCATCAATTTAGAATTCTATAAAGGAAAAGAATGACATCAAAGAAAATCATTGGCCTACAAGGAAAGAGCCCGTAGGCGTTTAGGTGCTATATATGTGGAGCCCATCAAGCTCTGGAATGGCAGGGAGACTCCATCCTAAGGCAACAACATGGGTGAATAGGGGCCTTCTGTGGACTGGGAATGAGTGGCTGGGGCTGGCTCCTGAGCACTGGCTCCCTGAGAGCCCTGCAGACCTAGTGGCAATTAAGTCTTGGTGGGGAGAGTTCAGTGTGGAACTGGGGAGGAAATGGGTTTCTAAGAACATTGTCCTACATCATGCGATTTCTTCTGTAAGTTTTTTTCAGGAAGATCATCATCATGCAACTAGTAGGGTTGGTGCTAACTCACAGCTTCACTAACTGTGACTTTGGGAAGATTAGAAAAAAATACGAGAAAATAATTTATCCTGCCCTGGAGAAGTATATGCAAGGGGTAAGTAAAGAAACATTTTCTCTAAAAAAAATATATGCTCATCAGAAGGCTAGGCGCACCCATGCGCACATGCGCGCACGCGCGCGCGCACACACACACACACACACACTACAATTTAACTCTCAAGGAAACATGGTCCAAATACTGTCAACAAATTTTATAAGCAATATTCAAATATATTGGCATCTAAAAGGACTACCTAGAAATTGACACATTGTAAGTGTGCAGCTCTCAGGAGAGACAACTGTTGGTAGGTAGCACATCATGCACTGAGAGTGTCTACCTTTTGCTAAAGCACAGCTCTAACAGTGGAAAGACAGAGTGGGTGAGGGCCTGGCAAAGAAAGAGGAGTAAAAGTGAGGGAATTCTTGTGAGCTAAGCCCTAAGGGGTGGGCCGATTTCCTGGGCTTTCCAGTGTTCTGGTTGTGTCCATGTGCTGTTATGAAACACAATGTCTTTTTGATTTTCTAATATGTGGTGGTAATCATGCTCCTGAATATTCTAATTTCGAAGAGCATGTGCGCGGGAGAGATACAGGCAGATGTGGGCATCTGCAGAAAAACATGATTGCCCACATATAGGGCCCACCCCAGGTGTGCTTACTGGATGTGAGGGGAAGGAAGGCGTCTCTTGGAGACCAGGGCCTTTGGACACCCAGGTCCAAATCCTGGTAGCTCTGTGTGAAGACGAAACGTGTCATTTCCTTGTCAGTGACAGAGGAAACAAGTACCCAAGTGGGCACGGCTTTCAGAACACCTTTAAAGCCAGGGAGCAAGTGGTCGGAGGATGATTTTGCCTGTGGACTTAAGATTCTTTACCGTTTTTTGCCGAATTTCTTTTCCTTCCTTCCAGACCAAAAGTACCGAGTTCAACCCCACCATCTCCTGTCACAATCCGGTGAGTAGAGTGCCAGCGCTGCTGGCTTTCTCTGGAGCGACGCCGCGCCTTCCAGAATGCGGCATTCTGCTGTGTGTTGCGCTCCAAGCGGCGCTGGGCTCCCGGGAGACGGCGGCGGGGAGGGGAGCCCTGGGCCGGCGGCCAGCGCGGCGCAGCGCACAGCTGGAGGAATGAATCTCTGTCAGGCCTGCGCGACGTTCTATCCCAGGGCGGAAAGGCAAATCAGTAGCTGGGAGCAGAGAACGACGTCAGAGACGCCACCCTGGGGCTCTGCTGCGTGGGCCCGATACCCGGGCGGAGCCGGCGTGGCTGACAGCCCTGGCTGCGCGCGTCACCCCCTGCCCCTGCGCGGGACCTCCGCGCCTTAAACGGTTGCGGTGACTAACCCTTCAGCCACCTTCCTGGGCGCCCCTTTCGCAGGATTCTTAACCACTCTCTCTCCCCCCCCTCCCTCTCCCGCTCTATCTTCCTTTCCCTCTCTCTCTCCCCTCCCCCCTCCCCCCTCCCCTCGCCGCGCTTTTTCTCCGTTTCTCGGGAACCTGACCGCCCGGGACAGTCGGAGTGCCTCAGTACCATCGAACGCGACACCTTCACTCCCACCCCAGGCTGTGCGTCCCTCCCCACCGCAGACTTCGCCCGGAAAACCTGGGCCGTCTTTGCTCTCCGGTGCCCCGGCTACTCCAGAGTTCAGGTAAGCCCGCCCACAACTCCCGGAGCTGGCTCTCAGACACTTGGGAGCTAACCCTGAAGTGCCCTGGGGCAGAAGTCGTTCCGTGCTCCGTATTCAGATTTACCGTTTGAAGAGCAGTGAGTCAAGGAAACTTACACAGTATCCATCCAGACCCAAACCCACCTATTTCTACGGTTCTGATTCTCCTTCGCTTGAATTCTCTCTCTAAACCTCAGGTCGGTGTTTCAGAGTCGAATCAGTGAGCCCCCCTTCTCAAAATGTTCTGGCTGCGGCAGCGCGGCAGGAGTGGGTGCCCAACTGGGACCTTCTAAACCAAAACCTCTGGGTATGGATTCCTTAAGAGATTCTTTCTATCCCAAGGTTTGAGCAATACTGCTTAGATCTATCCCTTAAAGACAGTGTGTTTCATTCTTAAAATGTTACATTATACATTAAATCTCCACCCTATGTGTGCATAATTGCTTCTATGAGTCATGGTGCAGCCTCTCTATAGCCTACACGTTTGTAGGTGCAGCTGCCAGCATTTGAGTGGGTGTATAGCCTTAAATGTGGAGACAGTGTATTGGAGAGAAGGATCCCTGGAGGCAACCTGCCTGACTTTGAATCCTAGCACTATAACTTCTGTGTAAATTTGGATAAACAGTTTCTGTGTATCTTGGTTTATGGGCCAAGTAGGTGTCATATTTGTCAGCTCCAAATAAGGTATTTATGAGGATTACATGAATCAGTATATGTAAAAGTACTTGGACTAACACCTGGCTTGTAACAAGCAGGTATTCAATAAACGCTGTTTCAGTTGGCAAGTAAAGCAGAAAATTTGTCTTCGCAGTGAAAGTTTTCAGATGAAAGGAAGTAAATGCAACCTGAGTGGGTGACGATAACTATTACTTTTTAGGGATTGAGAATCGAAGCTCTAGGACTGATGTGAGTTGAATCTGAGTTAGAAGCTCAATGCCAGGCAGTCATATGATAAATCTCTTTGACCCTATGCCTTCTTCTGAAGGAGACCCTGGAAATCTATAGACGGCTTCAATAAAATGCATAGAAGACAAGCACAGAGCACAAGCCAGATCATGTTCCTGGACAGCATATGAGAAAGGAAGTCTGGAGAAACATGTCAGCTCCCTCCAGAACTCAAAGGGAGAGTCTAAGACAAATAATATTTGACAATGATATAGCAAATTTTAGACTGTAAGATTTTCATTAGTAACTCACCAAAGTTTATCAACTTAAATACTTTGGCACTTAGAAACTCATGTGTCACTATACAGGGGTAATTTGGGTGAAGGAATACACTGGAATTCTGTTGATATTAAACTTTCAGTTATTTAGGGCACATCAGGGTGGTGAGGCATGGGAGGCAGGTAAATTTGAGTCCAAACATTAGGCTAGGTTACTGAAATTATGTCTATTAAGAGGCATAATACAAGTCCTGTCTTTGGAACTTTTCAGGAGGATCATGAAATCATTAATTTATTCATTCCTTTTATCATTCAATAAATATTCAGTGTTTCTTATGTAGAAAATATACATAGTTTTCTATATAGAAACTATACTTAGCGTTGTGGGGAATATCCATGATGCAATCATAATAGCATGTAAGTTAGGGCCAAGTTAAATGACATACACCCTTAAGCACTGGAAGAGGTTTCAAAATAAAGATCAGAGTGTTACAAAGGCTTCTGGAAGGAGAGGGTGCTTGGCCTTGAAGCAAAAGTAAGTAACACTCTCCCCTGGAGAAAGCACACACGGCTAGTAAGCAGGTGCTTTGGTGATCTATTGAGATTGATTTGAGTATGGGGAGGCAAAATAACTTGTCACTCAACCGTTGTTGAAGACAGGGAAAATTAATTTTGACTATTCATTCTCTCATTCCACAGATAAATAGTTTGCAGGAAGTGAAGAAAGGAGAAGACACAACCAATAACTGCCTGGAAAAAGCCTCACACTTACTAGGATTGTGGCGTCGTTTTAGTCGAATTTCAGAAGAATAAGCATCTGTGCCACAGTCATATTTCACATCGAAATAAGTTATCCTTATTAAAAAGATAAAATATTACCTCTAACTGCAACATTTCAGACAAGATCGGGCACGTTCAGGGTGGTATGGCCGTAGACTAACTGCAACATTTCAAAGACCACTGATAGTTATTTTTAATTACAGAGATTTCTTGATTTTTATAAGTTTTTATTTTTTAATGTAGGTTTTTAATTCAGGGAAAGTTTCATCCCTCAAATGTCCAGGGAAACATCTGTAACATTGATGATTGGCTTCCTGGCAGTAATTCTCAGCTGGAACTGCAGAAGTCTTACTCAGAGGGAAAACCCCAAAGTGTAGCAGGAGAACATTTTCCCTTGAGTAAAGAAAAAAATTGAACTCAGTGAAAACATTACACCCTTTGTTTAAAAGAAAGGCACTTCTGCTTGTGATGATAATTCCTTTGTTTTCATACTAGAAATTTATGAAGGAAGAAAATATAAGCCAAAAGGAGTACACATATAGTTGTTAATATGATAAAGCAATTTGAAAGAATTTTAAGCAAAATAAAAGCATTCTAAGCCAACTTTTAAAAATTGTCTAGCAGACAAGAGTGATATATGTAAAAAGATTCTGAAGAAGTACCTTTATTATAGTTCTAATATATATTTTAAAATAATGGAATGTATTTTTAATTTATATTGTAAGCACTTTTGAAAATGTACATTTGTTCATAATTAACACTATATTTCTTAATAAAATAGTTGTGAATTAATTTTTATGAGTGATTTTTCGAATTTAGTCAGCAGACCATTTTTTTTAAATTTTCTTATTAACAGTAATGATAAATATTTGTGGGCTACAGTGTAACATGTCAATATACATATACAATGTGTACTGATCAAATCAGGGTAATCAACATTTCTACTTCTTTAACATTAATTTATGATTGAAGTCTTGAGGCATTTTTCTTCTGTTGTTCATGAAATGTGTGCTAGGTTATTGTGAACTACAGTTACTATGTTGAGTAACACTGGGAACAGACTCCTTTCATCTAATTCCAATTTGGTACCCATTAACAAAACTCCCTCTACATATCCCTATCACTCCCAACCCCCAGTTAATCATCATTCTGTGTTCAGATTGAGTTTTTTGTGGGTTTGTGTATTTTTTCGCTTCCACATAAAAGGAAGAGCAAAAGTATTTATCTTTCTGTGCCTGGCTCCTTTCACGTTTCATTCTTTTTATGGCTAAATAAATATACCACACATTCTTCATCTATTCATTGGATAATGGACACCTTGGTTGATTGCATATCTTGGCTACAATTGTGCTGCAATAAAAATGGTGGAGCATGTATCTCTACAGTACACTGATCTCAGGTCTTTTCAATATATACCCAGTTATGGGACTACTGGATCATATGGCTGCTGGATACACTTTCCACAGTAGCTGTGCTAATTGACATTTCCACCAACAGTGTGTAAGTATTCCTCTTCTCCACACTGTCACCAGCATTTGTTACTTTATTTTTGTTAATATCATCCTAACAATGAATACCTGATATCCCAATGTGTGTATGTGTGTGTGTGTGTGTTTGACAGGCAGAGTTAGACAGTGAGAGACAGACAGACAGACAGAAAGGTCTTCCTTTTTCTGTTGGTTCACCCCCTAAGTGGCCGTCACGGCTGGCATGTTGCGGCTGGCGCACTGCGCAGATCAGAAGCCAGGAGCAAGGTGCTTCCTCCTGGTCTCCCATGCGGGTGCAGGGCCCAAGCACTTGGGCCATCCTCCACTGCCGAATCTGGTGCCCCAACTGGGACTAGAACCTAGGATGCTGGCACCACAGGTGGAGGATTAGCCTAGTGAGCCATGGCGCTGGCCCTAATGTGGTTTTGATTTACATTTCCTTGATAGCCAGTGATACTGAGCATTTTTTCATCTATCTGTTGGCAATTTATATTTGTTTTTGCCAAATGTCTTAAGTTTCTGGTATGTTCTAGATATTAATCCTTTATAAGATAAGTATCTTGCAAACATTCTCTCCCATTTGTAGGAGGTATCTTCACTTTATTGATTGTTTCCTTTGCTGTGCAGAAGTTTTTGAGTTTGGTACAGTTTCATTTGTCTAGTTTTGCTTTTGCTGCATGTTCTTTAGGGGTCTTATCCAAAAAATCATTACTTACACCACTGTATTGAATTTTTCCCTGTACTTTTTTTTCTAGCAATTTGATAGATTCAGGTCTTACATTTAAGTTTTGATCCTTCTAGTGTTGATTTTTAAATATGGTGAGATGTGGGGTCAATTTCATTCTTCTATGCATGTGTACCCAGTTTTGCCAGCACCATTTATTGAAAAGATTATCCTTTTCCAATGTATGTTTGGCTATGTGGAGAATACCACAGGAGTCTCAAAAAGAGTCACGGATCACTGCTTACCTGAAAAGGGGATGAACTGTGGAAACACAGTAAAACATAGAGTTAAAAAAGCTGGCGCCACAGCTCACTTGGCTAATCCTCCACCTGTGGTGCCAGCACCCTGGGGTTCTAGTCCAAGTTGGGGCACCAGATTCTGTCCCAGTTGCTCCTCTTCCAGTCCAGCTCTCTGCTGTGGCCCGGGAAGGCAGTGGAGGATGGCCCAATTGTTGAGGCCCTGCACCCCCACATGGGAGACCAGGAGGAAGCACCTGGCTCCTGGCTTCAGATTGGCGTAGTGCACGCCGGCCGTAGAGGCCATTTGGGGGGGTGAACCAACGGAAAAGGAAGACCTTTCTCTCTCTCTCTCACTGTCTAAGTCTGCCTGTCAAAAAAAAAAAAAAAAAAAAGTTACCACTAGCCACAAAATAAAAGTAAAGTGGAGTTAAAAGTCAGGAGCTGAGGCAATACCTAACGGCTGTTAGGGAGACGCTCCTAATCATACCAAGCAGACATCTCTGGTCAGTCAGATAACAGTGCACTATGGACAATACCCTCCTACCCACGCTGACTGGACTGTTCAAACATAACTAAGGCAGGAACAGTATTGACTGGACTGTTCAACTGCAATCAAGGAGAAAACAGCATTGATTGGACAACAAATCGGCAAGCTGGAGGACTGCTGGAAAATGAGGATAAAAAGGGGAGCCCTTGCACTGCTCTCCATCCTCTCAGGGATCATGCCCAGTTTGTGTGAACCTCTGGATCTCCACACATCTGGAGCTGAAGAGGCAGCCCGTTACTCTTCATGGAGCAGATAGCGGCAGAAGCCGACAATGGACAAAAGGCCCAGTGTGTGTGAACCTCTGGATCTCCACACATCTGGAGCTGAAGAAGCAGCCTGCTTCTCTGCGTGGAGCAGGCAGCGGCACAATCTGACCTGCAGAGCTGTCCCTGAGCTGTAATACCCCACTGTCTGTGTGAGTGTGTGTGTGTGTGTGTGTGGCCCAGAGTGAACCTCTGGATCTCCTCGCACTTGGAGCTGAAGAGCTAGCTCACTAGCCCCCTTGCTAAGCAACACAAGGCGACTATGGAATCAAAACTCCAGCCGAGATGCCGCCTCACCACCTTGCCTGAAGTCCTTATTAGCCTGCTGCCAGAGTTGACCACAGAGCTGGACCAGGCCTCTCAGCAGGGGACCTCTCCAACTTCTCACCTTGCCCTCCACCTGGGAACTTTGAGTCTACTGCCCAGAGTGACAGCCTTCTCATGACTTCCTGCCTTTAAGTAACTGATCCAAGATCCATCTCTGCTGAGACGTTGAGCTCTGGACCTTGAACACTGACACTCTTTTTCGTGACTGTGATATGAGCCTTGAAAATGCAGCTTTTACAAATAATGTTAGTTATGTGTAATATAATATAACTATGCTTTGACCCTATGTTTTGACCCTATGCAAGGTATCTGCAAATAATGCTGGAGACCTTGATGTACATATACTATTATAATTGGATAGCCCTCAAAATTACGTTAACACTGTATACTGTGATCTGTGGATTAATGAATAAGCTCAAGTAGTATTACTGATATTGATATTAATGGTAGTGATTCCAGTAGTCCTGTAGCCATTAAGGAAATAGTGTTACTCTGATAGTTAAGTGTTATTATAGTAAGTTAAGTAGAAGATAAGTAGTTATGTTAAGCTAAGTAGTTAAACTAAGTAGTTATGTTAAGTAATTAAGTTATGATTAAGTGGTAGTGTTGTTAATTTAAGTATATTGATACTGATACGTGTATTGACCTAAATGAGCATGCTGATGAGTAGTGTGATAAAAAAAAAAAAAAACCCTGGTGTGTAAGCAATAAAATCTCTCATTGGAAAGACAGTCTTGTGTCCTGGTGTTCCTTTATTCCCCATGACTGACAAGTCATACGTCGCACTTGCTACTATTGAGCTGCGTGACAGTAGGCGCTCGCGACGGGTTACTTTGTAAGAAATCTGTTGATTGTATTTGTGTGAATTAGTAATTTCTAGGTTCTATATTCTGTTCCTTTGATTTATGTGTCAGCTTTTATGTCATTACCATGCTATTTTAATTAATCTAGCTTTGTAATATTCCTTGAAATCAGTATTGCGATGCCTCTAGCTTGATTTTTTTTTCTTGTGATTGGTTTGGCTTTTTTGGGTCTTTATGGTTCCCTATGAATTTCAGAACCATTTTTTCTAATTCTGTAAAGAATATAATTGATATTTTGATAGGGATTGCATTTAATCTGTTAGCTGTTTTGGGTAGTATGGACATTTCAAAATATTAATTGTTCCAGTCCATGAACAAGGACTTCCACTTTTTGTATCCTAGATGATTTCTTACATCAGTATTTTATCATTTTAATTGCAGAGATCTTTCACTTCTTTCATTAAATTTGTTCATAAATATTTAATTTTTGTACCTATTGTGAATGATTTTTTTCTTGATTTCCCGTTCAGCAAAATCATTATTAATGGTATATTCTTATGTTGATTTTATACACTGTGACTTTACTCAATTGGCATATCAATTCTAACATTTTTGATGCAGTGTATAAGATTTTTTGTATGACATCATATTATGTGCAAACATGGATATTTTCACTTATTCCTTCCCAATTTTGCTGCCCTTGTCTTGTTCCAGATCTTAGGGACAATTCTTTCAGATTTTCCCCATTAAGTATGATATTGCCTGTGGGTTCATCTTATATAGGCTTATTGAGGTATTCCTTCTATACATAATTTGTATCACAAGTATATGTTGACTATTCAAATGCCTTTTTTGCATGGATTAAAATGATCATATTTTTATTCTTCATTCTGTTGATATGTTTTATTACATTTACTGACTTGTGAATGTTGAACCATCCTTGCATCCCTGGGATAAATTCCACTTGGTCATGATGTTTGATCTTTTAAATGTAGTGTTGGATTTGGTTTGCTAATATTTTGTTGAGAATTTTTGCCTCTATGTTCATCAAGGATATTAGTTGTTTCCTTTTTGTGTTGTGTCTTTTATTGGTATCAGAATATGCTGGGCACAAAAAATGTTTTAGATTGAATTCCATCCTTTTCAGTATTTTGAAGTGATTTGAAGGGCATTGAAATTAATTTCTCTTTATGTATTTTGTAGAATTTAGTTGCAGAGTCCCAAAGTCCTAGATTTTTTTGTGTGTGTGTGGAGATGGAGATTTCTTAATGATTGATTGATTTGTTTGAAACTCAGAATAACAGAAAGAGAGGGAGGGAGGGAGAGAGAGAGAGAGAGAGAGAGATCTTTCATCTGGCACTTCACTCCTCAAATGGCTACAATGGCCAGGGCTGGGTCAGACCAAATACAGGAGTCTGGACTCCCTTTGGATCTCCTGCATGGGTGCAAGAGGCCTAAGTAGTTGGACTGTCATCCATTGCTTTCCCAGGCACATTTGCATGGAGCTGGATTTGAAGCAGAGCAGCTGGGACTTAAATTAGCACTCTGACAAAGGATGCGAGCCCACAATGCCCAAGTGCTTGGGCACCTGCACCTGTGTGGGAGACCCAAAGAAGCTCTGGGCTCCTGGTTTTGGATAGGCCCAGCTCTGGCCATTATGGCCAATTGAGGATTGAACCAGCAGATGGAGGACCTCTCTTCCTCTCTCCGTCTATAACTCTGCCTCTCATGTAAATGAATAAATCTTTAAAAAAATTGTATTAAATTTACTAAGACTTGATTTGTGACCCAATTTATTGTCTATCCTACAAAATGTTCCATAGAAAGGATGTGAATTTGGTAGCTATTCTATGAAATGTTCTGCAAATGCCTGATATGTTCATTTTCTCTATAGTATGGTCCAACTCTGATGTATATTCATTGATTTTCTGCCTGTAAGATCACTCCATTGATGACAGTGAGGTACTGAAGTCCCCCACTATTATTATATTGGAGTCTGTCCCTCTTCTTAAGTCTAATAATATTTGCTTTATATATCTGGGTGTTCTTGTGTTGAGTGCTTGAATAATTAGGGTTGTTATATCTTGTAGTTGTATCAATCCTCTTATCAATATATAATGTTTTTTGTCTTTTTATAGTTTTTTAATATATTTAAGTTATACAAATTTCATATATTTTTCTTTATACCATTTTAGGAACATAGTGGCACTTCCCAATCCCCCCCCAAACCTGACTCCTACCCACACTTCAACCCTTCCTCACCCTTCCTCTCGGATCCCATTCTTACTTTTTACAATGACCTTTTTTTTTTTTTCAATACATTTAATGATCAGATAGCTAACCCTATCCTAAGTAAGAGAGTTCAACAAATAGTATGAAGGAAGAAACAAAACACTGTTCTTTAACAAAAGACACAGGGCAATAAGCAATCATTGATTCTCAAAATGTCTATTTCAGGTACCCTATTTAAGTTACTTCAGATCAGGGAAAACATTTGATAACTGTCCTTTAGGACTGGCTTATTTCACTAAGTACAATGGTTTCCAGCTGTGACCATCTTGTTGCAAAAGACAGGATTTCATTTTTTCTTTTTTTACAGCTGAGTAGTACTCCATAGTGTATATATACCATAATTTCTTTACCCAGTCATCAATTGATAGACATCTGAGTTGATTCAATAGCTTAGCTATTGTGAATTGAGCTGCTGTAACCATGGGGTACAGATAACTTTCAAATGCTGATTTCTTTTGGTTTGGGTCAATTCCCAGGAATGAGATGCCTGGGTCATAAGATATATATTCAGATTTTGGAGGTGTTTCCCTACTGTCTTCCACAGTGGCTGCACCAGTCTGCATTTCCACCCACAGTGGCCCAGTGTACCTTTTTCCCCACATCTGCACCAGCATTTGTTTGTTGATTTCTGCATGAGAGCCATTCTAACTGGTGTGAGGTGAAACCTCATTGTGGTTTTGATTTGCATTTCCCTGAAGGGAAAAATAAAAAATAAATATAAAATAAAAAATAAAAATCATAAATAAAAAAAGGAAATCAGGTATTGTGATAACTCTGGCTTTGGTTTTGTTGTATAAGATTGCTTTAGCTATTCCAGGTCTCTTGTGTTTCCATATGAATTATAGCATCAGTTTTTCTGGATGTCTTTGGTATTCTGATTGGGATCAAATTAAATCTGTAAATTGCTTTTGTTAGTATGGACATTTTGATGATGCTGATTCTTCCAATCCACTAATATGGAAGATTTTTACACTTCTCAATGTTTTCTTCTATTTCTTTCTTTAGTCTTTTATAATTTTTATCTTAGAGATCTTTTACATCCTTGGTTAAATTTATTACAATGTATTTGTTTCTTTTTGGCGCTATTGTGAATGAGACTGATTTTTTTTTTTTTTGACAGGCAGAGTGGACAGTGAGAGAGAGAGACATACAGAAAGGTCTTCCTTTTGCCGTTGGTTCACCCTCCAATGGCCGCCACGGCCAGCGCACTGCGGCCAGCGTGCTGCGCTGATCTGAAGCCAGAAGCCAGGTGCTTCTCCTGGTCTCCCATGCGGTTGCAGGGCCCAAGGACTTGGGCCATCCTCCACTGCCTTCCTGGGCCACAGCAGAGAGCTGGCCTGGAAGAGGAGCAACCAGGACAGAATCTGGTGCCCCAACCGGGACTAGAACCCGGGGTACCGGTGCGACAGGCGGAGGATTAGCCTATTGAGCCGCGGCACCAGACTAATGGGAACTAGAACCGGTGCCCATATGGGATGCCGGCGCTTCAGGGCAGCCCACTGCACAACAGCGCCAACCCCAATTCCTATTTAACAATTAAGATGGGGCTGGTGCTGTGGCATAGCATGTAAAGCCTTTGCCTGAAGTGCCAGCATCCCATATGGGTGCTAGTTTGAGTCCCAGCTGCTCCAATTCCGATCTAACTCTCCTCTATGGCCTAGGAAAGCAGTAGAAGATGGTCTAAGCCCTTGGGCCCCTGAACCCATGTGGGAAACCTGGAGGAAGCTCCTGGCTCCTGACTCCTGGCTTCAGATAGGCAAAGCTCTGGCCATTGCAGCCATCTGGGGAGTGAGCCAGCAGATGGAAGACCTCTCTCTCTCTCCTTTCTCTCTCTGACTTTCAAATAATAAATAACTTTAAAAAAAAAACAATTAACACTCTTATGTATGACATCAGTAATCACCTGAAGCTCTTGACGTGAGTTCCCCAGGCTATAGAAGCCTTTGGAATGCACAAACTACAAAAGTACTTAGACAAGGCCATAGCAAAATGAAAATTCTCTCCTGCCTTCCAAGAAAAGTACCTTTTTCTTTGATGACCATTTCTTTCCACGGGGGTCTCACCCACAGAGACCCTCCATGTAGGACATTTTTGCCACAGTGTCTTGGCTTTCTATGCCTGAAATGCTTTCATGGGCTTTTCAGCCAGACCAGAATACATTAAGGTCTGATTCTGAGGTTAGAGTGCTACTTAAAGTGGTTGTCATTCTATGAGTCTGCTGTATGGACTATTTCCATTGTTGGAGCATTCATTCTCTTTTAATTCTATTATTATTCTCAAACACTTATCTTATTTATATGTTCACTTTAACTCTTAAGAGGCAGATCTTTACATTTATTTCCATTAAGTATTTATAATTGATTTTGTCCTATCACCCCAGCATGTTAAGATCTTGAGGTTTAGAATCTTAGTTCTGTTTTTTATTAGAAAATCATCTTTCATAGGCTTCCTGTGGCTTAATTTAAGTTATTGAAAAAGTACTGATCAAGGGAAAAGCAACCTGTATTCACTATCAAAAAAGGTAACCCTGTAAGCTGACAAAGTCATTTGTCCTTGCTCTTAAAAATAGTTTAACTTCTCAGAACCTAGTCTCTATTTTTTCATTATATCCATAGCCAAATAAAGGTTAAGAGAAA